TTGCCTTTGGCTTTGCCCAGGGGGCCCTTACCCTCTGCTTCGCATCCTCTCCTCCACCCTCTGTCGACGCTCCTCGCCGCTCGCTTCACCTCTCCTCACTCCTGCCCTCTGTTGTCCTCCTCCTCCTCCTCCTCCTCCTCCTCCTCCTCCTCCTCCTCCCCCTCCTCCTCCTCCTCCTCCTCCTCCTCCTCCTCCTCCTCCTCCTCCTCCTCCTCCTCATCGTCCTCCTCCTCCCTTCTCCCCCTTGTTGCTTCCCTCTTCTCCTCTCGTATCCCCATCCGCTGCCTTCCCCCCTTCTCTCCCATCCTCTTTCCATTCCCCTCTTCTGTCGTTGTTTGTTGTCTTTCTCATCCCATCCCGTATACTGTCCTCTTCTCTTCTGATGCTAGGGTTGGCCCGGGCTTGAGCCACTTGTTGGGCTGGTGTAAGCGAGGCGTGTTCGAGCCTTTGGGCAATAGGATCATCACTTGTCCAAACACTTGAGCGCGTGATGAAACGCTCCTGCGAAAAGTCAATAGTTTAACATGCTGCGTTCGCCTGAGACGCAGTCATCATCCTGGCTTCTCTCCTTTAGTTCCCTCCCCCATGCAGTTCGTTCTCTTCCCACTCTGGAACACCTACAGTCAACGTGCCTAGTATGGACGCGCGCCTTCATCTAGGGTTCCTTGTGTCCTTGCCTCTGCAGCCCGTCGTCAGCCGTTTTCACTGGCCTCTCCTTGGGGTTGGGCCCCTTGGCGTCCCTGGGATTTTTGTCACCCGCCGCACAGTAAGTCCCAACTTCGGCCTCCACGCGTGTCGCGTCCCTACCACCCGTCCTCAACATAAGTTTTGATTGGAACCCCTTCCATACCAGCTCTCTCTTTCTCTCGCGCCGTCTCTCCGCCCCCTCCATTCTCTCCTCGCTCCCCTCATCTGTAATCGCTTCCCTTTGACATCGACGCCATACAATTTCTGATCCTCTCCTCGGAGTCGAGATCCCTCCCCCGACCAATATCTCGTCCCGCATCGTCTCCACTCCACTCATCTCTCTCTCTCTGTCTCCTCCTTTCTCTGTTTCTCTCTCTCTCTCTCTTTCTGTAGTTGTGTCTCCCTTGGTATTCCCAACCATCCTGTGGTGTTGGGCCCTTGTTTTGAAGAGACAGCACACAACGTTCCTCCTCCTCCTTCGCTCCCCCCTCCTCCCTCCTCCCATCCCAGATCACACCCCTGCTTTTACACTCGGCACACCCCTCACACGTTGCGTGGCCCCATGGGGAGCTCCACGGAAGGATTCAGCAGCAGCGCCCGCATGCGGTTCCAGCCCCTTTTCGGCCAATCGCACATTTACCGTGGCCCAAAAGGAAGCTCCACCGAAAGCCCCAATGGTAGCGCCCGCATGCAGTTCCACCCTCCATTTCGGCGCACCCCTCACACGTTTCGTGGCCCCATAGGGAGCTCCACCGAAGGCCTCAGTAGCAGCGCCCGCATGTACTTCCACCCCCATGTCGGTGCACCCCTCACACGTTTCTCGGCTGGAGCTCCACCGACGGCCTCAGCGGCAGCGCCCGCATGCTGTTTCTCCCCCATTGGGGAGCTCCACCGAAGGCCCCAGTGGTAGCGCCCGCATGCAGTTCCACCCTCCATTTCGGCGCACCCCTCACACGTTTCGTGGGCCCCATGGGGAGCTCCACCGAAGGCCTCAGTAGCAGCGCCCGCATGCTGTTCTCCCCCATCAGGGAGCTCCACCGAAGGCCCCAGTGGCAGCGCCCGCATGCAGTTCCACCCTCCATTTCGGCGCACCCCTCACACGTTTCGTGGGCCCCATGGGGAGCTCCACCGAAGGCCTCAGCCGCAGCGCCCGCATGCTGTTCCTCCCCATTAGGGAGTTCTACCGAAGGCCCCAGTGGCAGCGCCCGCATGCAGTTCCACCCTCCCTTTCGGCGCACTCCTCACACGTTTCGTGGGCCCTATGGGGAGCTCCACCGAAGGCCTCAGTGGCAGCGCCCGCGTGCAGTTCCACCCCCATGTCGGTGCACCCCTCGCACGTTTCTCGGCCCCAGGGGGAGCTCCACCGACGGCCTCAGGGTGCAGCGCCCGCATGCGGTTCCACTCCGTATTTCGGCGCACCCCTCTCGAATGCGACCCTGAAGGCGCCCCAGGAGAGGCGCAGTATGACCCTCGGGAGCCATCGCATGACTCGTGGGACGTGCGGACTCTCAACCCTCAGGGGAGGAACAAATACCAATACTGCCTACTCTTGCCTCGTTTGCACCTCGTTGGGCCTCCTGGGAGGCCATCGTCGCAGCCGCTGGATTTGCTTCAAAGTCCTTCTTAGAGCGCACCCCTGGAGAGGTCTGGGGAGCGGCACCGGTACCCTTCCTGGTTTCCCCCAACCCCGCGGCCAGCCCCCCAGACAAGACCCAAGGGGAGCCCCGGGTGCGGCAGCAATCCCCAGCACTCTGAGGTCTGGGCCTCTTGAGGAGCAGGCGATCGAAGGCGGCATGAGGGCAGCGCGCTTCGAGCCTCGCAGCGAGACAGCACACTGTATGTGGGGCGTGCACACTGCTGCAGATTGTGCACACGTGGAGTGCGTCCACCTGCACTGTCCGCCCACATGCCGCCGCGTGGTTGCGTGGAGCGGGGGCGAGTCGGGAAGGGGGGGGTGGACGTCGTGAGTCCTGCGTGCGGAACCGCTCCCGCGGAGGGCCCCACGGAGGACGGAGCGGCTCGGAGGGGCGAGCGAGCAGCGGATCTCCTTGGCACCGCTCGGACGCGCGTGTGCTTCTGCTCGGCCAGGGCCACATCGGGGAGCACGCCTACTACTAGTGTTACTACGATCACGACGAAGACTACTACTACTACTACTACTACTACTACTACTACTACTACCACCACTACTACTACTACTACTACTACTGCTGCTACTACTACTAGAACTACTACTACTACGACTACTACGACTACTACTACTACTTGTACTACGACTACTACTTCTACTACTACTACTACTACTACTACTACCACTACTACTACTACTACTACTACTACTGCTACTACTACTACTACTACTACTACGACGACGACTACTACTACTACTACTACTACTACTACTACTACTACTACTACTACTACTACTACCGATGCCACTAATAAGATTACAACTTCTTTTCTTACTACTACGGTTACCGCTACTAGTACTACTGCCGCGGCAGAGATGTGCACGCACGGCGCCGAGCCACGCGCGGGGACCAGGCGCCCGAGCGGCGGCGGGCGCGCGCGCGGTGGCCGCGGCGCGGTGGCCCAGGCAGCACGAGCAGGGCGGGAGATCGGGGGCCACCTGTGAACCCTACCCCTACCCCCCACCGATTTCTGAGGGGAGGGTGGGGTCCACTTCGCTCCCCCTCGGAAATCGTGGGGGGTAGGGGTAGGGTTCACATGTGGCCCCCTAGGAGAGGCGCGGGGAGGCGGGCCCGCAGCCGTGCCGCGGAGCGGGCCGGGCGAGGATCGCCAAGGTCAGCGACACGCTCTGGGAGGTCCAGGTCCTGGCGAGGGGCAACTGGGACCTGGTGACCGGGGAGGGGGGGGAAGGGCGGCGGCGCGCGAGGGGGGGGGGGGAGGTGAGAGGGCGGAGGCCTTCTCGGAAGGCGGGGGAGCTTCTCGGAAGGCCTCTCCGGCCCTCTGAGAAGCCCGCGGATTCTTCGGGGAAGGCTCGGAAAACTTCTCCGAAGGACGGGGGACTTCCGAGCCTTCCGAGAAGGCCCGCCCATTCTCACTTCCACTCCGGGCTCGCCGCCGAGAGGGGGAGACATAGACAGAGGCAGACACAGAGACAGAGAGCGGCCACGTGTGTCGCCGAGAAAGCATCGTGGTGTGTATTGAGCCTTCTCTTCTCCTCCCCGTCCTCCACCCTCCTCTCTCCTCCTCCCCCTCGTGTCCTCATCCCCTCCCGCTCCTCGCCACATTGTCCTCTCCCTTCTCCTCCTCGTCCTCCTCCTCGTCCTTCTCCCGATCGTCCTCCTCTCCACGGTCGACGGTGCCCCCGGTACGCGGCTGCTGGCCTTTCGGAGGTCGACGAGGACCGTGGCTTCCGTGGTTGGCCCGTTTTGGTCTAATCAAGAATCGGAGTATGGGGGGTGAGATCGCAGTGAAACGGAGACCCCCCACCGGGAAATCGGTTTCGGTTTCGTGTTCGTGTCGTGCGTGCGGGCGAGGCGAAGCTGCGCGTGATCCTCCTGTAGCTAGGCCGAAGGAGGAGCGAAAGTCCGTTCCCGTCCGCCGGTGGCTGGGAGGTGTCCCAGTTGGGCTGGGCGGTGTCCCGGGTGTCCCGGGAGGTGTCAGTAGAAGCGAAAGTCCGTTTCCCGTCCGCCGGTGGCCGGGAGGTGTGCCAATTGGGCCGGGCGGTGTCCCGGGTGTCCCGGGCGTCTCGGCGCTAACGCATGTCGCCAATTTCATAATTCATGTTTTTCCGCGCCTGCAGCGGGCTTTCTTATCCAATCCAGCTTATCTTATCCAATACATATTGTCCAATCCAACCCATCTTATCTTATCCAACCCATCTTGTCCCATTTTATCTGATCCCACCCAATCCAATCCACCCAACCCAATCCATCAATTTATTTGTTTCTGCGCCTGCGGCGGGCCAATCCAATCCAATCCAATAGGGAGGGAGAGAGAGAGAGAGAGACAGAGAGAGAGAGAGAGAGAGCGAGACAGAAAGAAAGAGAGAGAGAGAGAGGGAGAGATGAGATCAAGTTGACAGACTGGAGGTCAGTCAGTGTGGGCATGTGATCTCAATCCCCCCCAACCTCCTTATCGCCCGCAGGGCGGTCGTACAGGTACTCATCCTTCTTCTTCCAGCTTATTATCCTCCTGTACCCTCTACCTTCCCCTCCTCCCCCCCCTCCTCACCTTCCAGGCTCTCCTCTATCATCTGCCCTCCAGCTCCCCCTCCTGCTCCCTCCACCCTACCTCCCTCCCTCCCTCCCTCCCCTTCGGGGGCAAACGTATCCATCCTGCGCGCAGGGCCTGCCCTACTCGCTCCTGCGGCCCCAGGCTCGCCAGCTTTGGTGACCGCCCTCCTCGCTTCAGTCTCCCCGCCCCCCTCGAGAGTCGACCCCCCGATCCGGGGCCGGAGCGCGCCCGGATATCGACCGCCCTTCCGAGGTGGATCGGGCCGGGGGGATCCAGCGCGGGAGGGAGGAGGAGGAGGCGGGGGCGGAGGCGGAGGAGGAGGAGGCGGAGGAGGAGGAGGAGGAGGAGGAGGAGGAGGAGGAGGAGGAGGAGGCGGAGGAGGAGGAGGAGGAGGAGGAGGAGGAGGAGGAGGAGGAGGAGCAGATCCGCTCCCTCCCCCCCCGGGTGCCCCCGCTGCCCCGCGCCTTCTTCCCTGCGTCCCCGGGCCCGGAGGCCGCGGGAGCCGCGCCCCCCGGGCACCCTGCCGCGCCCCCTGTCGTCCGAGCCGCGCCCGGCGGGCGGGCGGGGCGGTATAGAGCGAGGGGGGCGCCCCCCTCGAGGAACGGAGGAGGAGGTAACACAGGGCCCCGAGTCATCAGGGGTATAACTCGGGTCAGGGCTAACTCGGGCTCCTTCTTCGGGAGCCCAAGCCCGAGTTACCCCGGGCCCGAGTTACCCCGGAGAACTCGGGCGTCCAGAGCCCCGAATCATCAGGGGCAACTCGGGTCAGGGATAACTCGGGTTCCTTTTTCGGGAACCCAAGCCCGAGTTACCCCGGCCCGAGTTACCCCGGATACTCGGGCGTCCAGAGCCCCGAATCATCAGGGGTAACTCGGGTCAGGGATAACTCGGGTTCCTTTTTCGGGAACCCAAGCCCGAGTTACCCCGGGCCCGAGTTACCCCGGGTAACTCGGGCGTCCAGGGCCCCGAGTCATCAGGGGTAGCTCGGGTCAGGGATAACTCGGGTTCCTTTTTCGGGAACCCAAGCCCGAGTTACCCCGGGCCCGAGTTACCCCGGAGAACTCGGGCGTTTCCAGAGCCCCGAATCATCAGGGGCAACTCGGGTCAGGGATAACTCGGGTTCGTTCTTCGGGAACCCAGACCCGAGTTACCCCGGGCCCGAGTTACCCCGGATAACTCGGGCGTCCAGAGCCCCGAATCATCAGGGGTAACTCGGGTCAGGGATAACTCGGGTTCCTTTTTCGGGAACCCAAGCCCGAGTTACCCCGGGCCCGAGTTACCCCGGGTAACTCGGGCGTCCAGGGCCCCGAGTCATCAGGGGTAACTCGGGTCAGGGATAACTCGGGTTCCTTTTTCGGGAACCCAAACCCGAGTTACCCCGGGCCCGAGTTACCCCGGATAACTCGGGCGTCCAGAGCCCCGAGTCATCAGGGGTAACTCGGGTCAGGGATAACTCGGGTTCCTTTTTCGGGAACCCAAGCCCGAGTTACCCCGGGCCCGAGTTACCCCGGATAACTCGGGCGTCCAGAGCCCCGAATCATCAGGGATAACTCGGGTCAGGGATAACTCGGGTTCGTTTTTCGGGAACCCAACCCGAGTTACCCCGGACCCGAGTTACCCCGGATAACTCGGGCGTCCAGCGCCCCGAATCATCAGGGATAACTCGGGTCAGGGCTAACTCGGGTTCGTTTTTCGGGATTCCGAACCCGAGTTACCCCGGACCCGAGTTACCCCGGATAACTCGGGCGTCCAGAGCCCCGAATCATCAGGGGTAACTCGGGTCAGGGATAACTCGGGTTCGTTTTTCGGGAATCCAAACCCGAGTTACCCCGGACCCGAGTTACCCCGGATAAATCGGGCGTCCAAGAGCCCCGAATCATCAGGGGTAACTCGGGTCAGGGATAACTCGGGTTCGTTTTTCGGGAATCCGAACCCGAGTTACCCCGGACCCGAGTTACCCCGGGTAACTCGGGCGTCCAGAGCCCCGAATCATCAGGGGTAACTCGGGTCAGGGCTAACTCGGGTTCCTTTTTCGGGAACCCAAGCCCGAGTTACCCCGGACCCGACTTACCCCGGATAAGTCGGGCGTTCCAGAGCCCCGAATCATCAAGGGCCGAACTCGGGTCAGGGAAACTCGGGTTCGCTTTTTCGGGAAACCCAAGCCGTAGTTACCCGGGCCCGAGTTACCCCGGGTAACTCGGGCGTCAGGGCCCCCGAGTCATCAGGGGTAAATCGGGTCAGGGAGAACTCGGGTTCCTTTTTCGGGAACCCAAGCCCGAGTTACCCCGGGCCCGAGTTACCCCGGGTAACTCGGGCGTCCAGGGCCCCGAGTCATCAGGGGTAGCTCGGGTCAGGGATAACTCGGGTTCCTTTTTCGGGAACCCAAGCCCGAGTTACCCCGGGCCCGAGTTACCCCGGAGAACTCGGGCGTTTCCAGAGCCCCGAATCATCAGGGGCAACTCGGGTCAGGGATAACTCGGGTTCGTTCTTCGGGAACCCAGACCCGAGTTACCCCGGGCCCGAGTTACCCCGGATAACTCGGGCGTCCAGAGCCCCGAATCATCAGGGGTAACTCGGGTCAGGGATAACTCGGGTTCCTTTTTCGGGAAC